ATGCGTTCTCGTTAAGATTTATTTTCTGCCAGAAGGAAATGCCTTGGCACGCGGGATTACGCGCCGAAAAACCCGTTTTGTCCGAGCACACCGTAATCGTGTTATCGGTTTCCCCTTATTTTTATTTCTCTTCTTTCTTTTCTTCTCTTTCCTTTTTGTTTCTTTTTGATATTACGTGGTCGCAGTGCGCTTGTTAACGAGACAACCGACACGACAACACAAGCAAAATCATGCCACGCTGTTGGCAACAATCGAACGTAAGATCCTGGCCGTGTAATCAATTTCTTCGTAAATCGTGGGCGAAAACCGCTTCGATAGTGACACGCACGGGAAATAGCTCGTTAATTTATCGGTAAACAAATTAGACGTGAGAATGCCATTGCACGAGATCGCAGCCGTGCTTGTTAGAATTTCAAGAACGAGCGCTGGTATTAACATTATTTTCCTGCTAATGGATCGCTGATTGGGATCCTCCACGTTCCTTGAAATGTTGACTTTTATACGAACTGTCAATAAGAATCTGCTCCTGATTCATTTCGTTGTTTCGTAATTTATATCGTTGTTCTATTATTTGTGAGTTGGCCTAATTCTAGAAGGCGTGAAACTCGTTTCTGAGATTGTTTTAAACTCAAAAGTGTTTTTTTAATGTAGCAAATATAATTACTAAAAAAAACTTATATATATATATATAATTATGATGATATAATATATTTTTATAAATAATAGTAAATAGATTAATTTTTTATTATGGATACAATAGATTTCTACAAAGATTATGTTTTGCTAAATTGATCTAAAAATTATTTATTGTTATTATATATTGTGGTTACTGTAGCTAATGGAAGTATAGTCATACGTTAAGAAAGTTCATTTCATGAAAATATTTAATGGTATGTAATTCTTTGAATCAGATAAAATTACTATTTTTACCAGAAATTAATTTTTGCAAAAATGTTCTAGGAATATAGTGCAAAATCCATTGAAATAAAAAGAATAATATTGGAATTGGAAAGAAGTGGAGTATTAAAAATTCTGAAAAGACTCATTGGCTGTTTTCCATTAATGGACAAAGGAAAAGTAGGAATCAGCATCTTCCAACAATAATAATGTTAATTATTGATTTGCATCAAGTATATATACACATATAATTATCTGAATCCTTGCGCACATTCCTGACGTAACACAGGAGTTCTCATGATTGTTTAAACTTGAACATTCAAAGTCGATTATCGTTATCAGCCAGCCAAGTTAACACCGACTGAATTAGCAAAGAATTATTTACTGATGTCTATTCTTTACGAGGATTTCAATGATTCGCATTTTTTTTTAGCACATTTAGAAATCTGAAGCATCTTGCTTTTTCTTGGAACATTTAAGAAAAATTCCTTGGAACTTATAAATATTTTTACACTAAATAATATTCTTAATACTAGTACAAGTGTTCACTAGCTCATCAGACAGCAGCAAATTTTGTTGAAAATTTACATTTTATTGAAAATAATATGACGTTACATCATCAATCACCAAGCGTTGAAAATCACATGACGCCACAATAAGTAACGTCACCGACCATTAAAAATCATGTGATATCACAGTATCAGCTTTAATCGTTGAAAATCACATACGCCATAAAAACATTTCTTCGTTAGTAGGTCATTACGGTGTTGACGAATAGTACCAGTAAGACATTCGCATTTATAGCGCAATATTATATTTAATAGTATTTAAATTTAACAGATCTACTATTTTACTAAATATAGTATTAAAATATGTTTTTGTCTAACTCATACCCTAAAATATGTAACATAAGATATATTTTTGTCTGAAGTGTAACAATATGTAACATATAAAATAGAAGCATATCAACATCTTGAAAAATAACTTTAAAGTTATAAAGTTTGATCAAAGTGTAAGATACAGTTCTATTACTAATTTCTACGTGCCATGTATACGGTGGCCAAGCATAAGTGACCGCTCGTTAATGGCCATTTTCAGGCAACTATACACTGTGTACGTTGGCGACCTTATAATCAAAGGCATTGACAAATCACTATGTTTCGTTCGTCGACTGTTCTATAGAAAGAAACGACACCTTCTGAGAACCCATCATTAGGCATATGTACGTGCCTCGAAACGTATCTTTATTCTTACCATAATCGAGTATTCGATTCAAAAAATCGTTCAGAGAAGTTATGCGCTTTTTGTAAAGAATGATGTAACACATCAAGTGAACGTTCGCGTTTGTTACTGTTACCATAATTGGGAAGCTTTTCTATTCTAAATGATGAAAAAAAAGTAGAAAAGTGAAATTTTAGAAGTAATGAAAATAATACAAGTAAGAAATGAAAATTTAAATATTTATGTAGATCAATTTTCTTTATAGAGTCGGACAGAGGACATAAGGAATCTAGAATACATCACTTGCTCTACCATATAAACTCAATCAACAATGAACACTTTGATCGCTGGTCAATGCTCAATTTCTTCGCGACACAATTCCAGAGACAAGGCAGAGTTTATTTCTCTCTTCCGCTATGCTCTTGCAACTCTAATTGCTGCAATTAGTATCGGTCGAAGTTCGATAAATGCGAACAAAAAAAAAAAAAAAAAAAAAACGACGAGAGTTCATTTGAAACTTGAGAAAAACGTGTGAGGAATTTCCCTGTCGTTGCGCAGACAAGAAAAAAAAGCAAAAAAGAAAAACAAAAAAAGAGGAGAAGAGAAAGAAAGGACGGAGGAGAAATAATTGGACGCAATCGAATGTGATTACAGCACAATTTGACGGTCGCGTGCGTCGTTTTCTTAAATCGCGTTCGCGGTGGCGCCAAGCGTGCAATCGTCGAGCGCACGTTCTTCGTTCGCGTTAGCATTCAACGCGTAACCCGGATTATTCTACGCTACATCGCGTTGCACTCCACCTATTACGCGTATATATTGCATCGCGTATATTGCATGCACGCGGTACGCGGCGTTAATGCATTCTCCCGAGGGACAAGGGTGCGTGCCACCAATCGGGCGCCACCTCTCTGTAGATCGTCACCATTATCTCTGTAGATCGTTCGAATCTTCCTTTCGAGGGGAAATTCCGTTATTACAAACCGGTGGCGGGCTTCGATCACTTGTTTCGGCACCGTTATATCTTACCTTTTATTTGCTTGTCGAGCACGTTCGTTCGCTCGTGCACATTGAATTTGATTTTGATAGCTCCTTATGACAGTCGATGATGTACTTTCAGTTAGCTCATACATTCGCTTCTGCTGATTCGTGATTTTTAGGGTGAATTACATCTTACGAAGATTGTGGAACATTTGCTACTACGTGGGGAAATAGATATATCTTGGAGTACATGATACAAGGTACACTAAGCATATTTTTTTTTTTTATCAATTTTATATAAAAAAAAAATTATAAAATAAACCGCCACAACTGTGCAACCTACCATCACGAATTTTGCAGAAACTTACTTTCAGAGGGATTTATAAATTGAATTTACAAATTGGATGACATACAAAGTGGGAAATGTAGTGCTTATACATGAATTATAATACATGACATTTCTAATATACAAACACGTCTTAAAGAAACATTGTAGGATAGACTTATCTTAATTGTTTTTGTTTGGTGTTCCTCTTTAATTGCCAATGTTTCATAGATGACTTTATCAATGAGTTTCTCAAAACTCAGAGCACTCTTCATTACTGTTCGATGCTATTCCGTTTCCCCTTTCCTCTTTACGTTTGTCAAAGTAGAATCTATACGTACAATCCGTCGAAGTTAATTGAATTAGAAGCTACTTAGAGTGATTTATATGGCCGTGCCTATCTCTTTATGTATCGGACGATTATGTTTATTCAAATAAGCAGAGGAGGAGAGGCACGTAGGAATTGACAACGAGACGACAACAACGACGATATTTCACCGATGGTAATTAGTAGCGCATTTCTCGGCGAGGCATTCAATCATTTTCAACGAGGGTAATTACTGACACGGTCGTATGTTCAAGATCGTATGTCAGAGTTTCACATTCCGTGCAATGCAAATGCATGATGTAATGATTCAGGCGCCTCTTTTGATGGATTCGAGGCGCCTTCTTTTCTGTACAGAGGCGCCTCCTCCGTGTTAAAGACGCCTCTGTTCCACCCGATTACCAGTGAATCATTCCACTAGTACACAGAACTTCGATTCAGGAATTTTCGTGTAGATATTTGCATCGTTTAGAATCAATTAAAATAAATTGCACGTCCTCTACGTGTCTACATTGTCTCTGCCTGTTGTGTGTGACAGTTGGCGAGTGATCTGCGTACTCATTGGAAAACACGATTGATACATCGGCGCGAAAGATATACTTTTTATTTATAAAGAAAAAATGTCTGCACCTAGATTGCTAGAATGTCAATGCTAGTTCTAACCATAATAATCTTTTTATTACATTACTGCGACTCATTTACCTATTTTAATTCCGATGATACATTTTTTATGTTTAGGTTTACCGCAGAGAGTATTCCTTTGTTAACTAGGCGTTTTTACAAGGGATAGTTAGTGTAAAAGTTCTTACGTTACTCATGGAAGTATATATACCAGTTGTAAATTTCTCTCAAAGGTAGCACAACCAGATGGATCTCTGCAGCCAGTTATGGTCGCAAGGAATGCGATTCGCTGTTATGCGTAAGAGGTCACGAAAGATAGCGTAAATGCGTCAGCAATCTTCCTGGAATATCAAACGATGTTGATGGATTCAAGGGAAATCGTGAGAAAAGAAATTAGTCATCACGCGAAATGTTTCAGCTAGTTTTTAATTTCCTTCATTCTTCCGGTGTCCATCTCCATTTAAAGGGAAGCTCGTGAAAATGACAAATACCTCGCTACGCTTGAGAATCTCCGTAAAATGATTCATAAAGATTAATCATTGTGAACGTGTGACTTCACTTAGACTATATGTAACTCTCTCTCTCTCTCTCAATTACTACATTGCTATTTTCGGCAGATTTTCACATGAAAGAATGTTTTACACACAACATCAAGAAATGTTAAATATCGTAAGAGAGTAATCGAATGTTACTCAGCACTAGCAACTTTAACGTTCTAACATACTTATTGTGTATGGTATATATGTGTGGTGTGTGTTTTAGGAGGAGTGTAGAAAAAGGATAGCCGAGTGCACAATGAGTAATGGTGCAAGTACACCGGTATGTGGGAGCGACGGTGTTACGTATTCGAGTCAGTGTCAGGTCATCTCGAAGCAGTGTCAAGGCATGTCTATTCTTATCAAACATACTGGCCCTTGTCCAGGTAATTGCATTGGAATAGCTTAGGAATAATTATCGGCAACCAGCCGATCGGTCGTCGATTTCTTTTTATCCGTAATAAATATCGTTCAGAGAAACAAAATTTTGTTTAAATCATCGCTTCGAATATATTTCGAAGTGACAAGTGATTGAAGGACATTCTTTTCTTTCATCTCTATCCTTTCATTACGATCAAACCTGACAACCTTCAGCCACGTTTACTGAAATAACGATCGTGTGCTGTAACTTGCTTTAATACTCGATAAAAAGGAATCGTACAAGAACGTACACTGTGAAAGATACGCGTCTAACACAAGGAATCATCATATATAATTGAACCTGTCCCGTCTAGAGACACCAGCATGCTTCTCCGCAAGATTGACCGCCAGGCCGGGTGCACGACCAGTCTGCCGCTCGGATGGCACTTACGCGCCGGTGCAATGTCACGAGGAAACCGGGTACTGTTGGTGCGTGACACCGCAGGGCAGACCGCTGCCCGACACCTCGGTAAGAAACGAAAGACCAAGATGTGTGAAAAAACCTGGTCCCAGATCTACTGCTTCCACCAGGAGCGGCCAAAGGAGGCGCTCGCCGAACTGGAAGCAGCGAAGGCAGTACAGCAGCAAGCACAGGAATACCTGTGACCGGGCGGAAAAGTCCAAGTTCAACGGCAACCTAATCGAGAACTTCAAGATCGAGTACAGGCGGACGAACATCTCCGCTGACGGTGAGGAGAATTCGACTGGATATATACCGCGAGTCCAGCCACAACGAATTGCGAATATATATTTGTTGTTTCGGTTGCTAAAGGCATTTTGGAAGGAGATTTGAAATCGCGGGGCTCGATCGAGAAGAAGTGATGATGTGTAGAATTTTTTAACCCTTTCGGTACGAGCGCTCTGTCCGCCGTGATACACCCGCTGTGTGTAGTTCTCTTGTGTATAAAGATTTTCCTTAGAGAAGAAGATTTTTCTTCTAACAAATGTCGTTAGTTCTAATATTAAAAGACATTTATATTAAATTCTGTTAATTGTACAAGTAACACTAGAATTATACAAGTCAGACACACAGGTCGTCCGATGGATGCCGGATATATCCATCATAGCTCGTACCGAAAGGGTTAAATTCCGATCTCACGCGTTGTATTTTTTCCACTTTCGTTTAATTTCTGTTTCTTTCTGAACAGGCGACAAGAACGTGGAGAGGGTGTTGTCGTGGAAATTCATGACGCTGGACAAGAACGGGGATGGATATCTAGATAGGGCAGAGTACAAGGAGTTGAGGAGGCTAGCGAAGAAGGCGGTAAGGCCGAAGAAATGCGCTCGCACGTTTGCCCGCACGTGCGACCTAAATCGGGATTTGAAACTCTCCAGGCAAGAATGGGGTGCCTGCCTTGCGAACGACTTCACTCGTAAGTTTAAAACGTGGTGCACGTGCGTCTTACCACCATGAAGGCAGAATATCAGACACTTGCACGACTCGACGATCTTTTATCCCTTCGTCGAACTCGGAACGATTATTTTGAAACGAAAATTTATCTCTTACAATTACTTACGTTCTCCTCTTGATTGTGTTTCAAAGAGGTTCCCATCATCGGAAACAATATTGTTGAACAGTCAGGGTATTATCAGTCCGAGTTGCAAACACTCGCTAACACCGTTTTCCTGGTAGGCGAGTGCTCTCAAGGTCACAGCCGAGGCTGACGAATGCATAAATCAGTTTTGAACACGTTGATATTTGCGGAGCGGCGCGGCGCCACGCTGTT